ATGATACTAAGTACCTGCCAGATAGACATGTACACCTTACTATCATTCCATACACCAAATATAGTTGACCTATTGCTAATGGTAATTGGAAAACAGACCAAAACACAAAAAACTAAACATTGACCAATCAACAATGAGAATAAGGTCAAGGTTAGATGATAACTGGCAAGTAGACATGTGCACCTTACTATCATTCCATACACCAAATATAGTTGCCCTATTGCTTATAAGTACATGAAAAACAGACCAAAACACCAAAAAATAAATTGCTTCGCCGAGCGCAGCTGGATACGACCGCAGAGGTCCAACCCTGAACAGTTGGGGCAAAAATGGACACAATATTCGCGCTTGATACAGGTCTGAATTTGGAATGTAATTCAATATTTGACACATAATAGGTTTCTGACACAGAACAACTGTAGTCAAAGAACTTAGAATTGGTTATATGATTTTGAATTTATATTCAATTTTTTGCTTTTGTGCAATACACTATGCTGTTGCGAATTGACCTCCCCTCCCCCTCTTTTTAAAAAAAAAATTGAAGGATTTTCTTTTTGATTTCTGAAATCTTGAGGAGAAGCAATTGTCCCCCCCCCCACTCCCCACCACCATTTTTTTACCCCCCCCCCCCCCCTTTTCCAAAAAGAAATTCTTTCCCTCAGTCATGGTCATAATTTCAATTTAAATTTCCAATGGAGTTTGCAACCATAATAACCCATTTAAATACATCATAAAAGTCTTAAAATAGAAAATGACATACATAATCATAGCTAAAATTAATTTACCTTAATCAGCATTATTAAAATTATTAAAATAGTAACTTCTAAAAATGAATTGACAGCTAATCACCTCAAGACAATACAAAAATTCTTTATACATAATTTAAAGGCAGTGTAAGGGAGGTAATTTAACGTTGTGTTTGAATTACCTCCCTTACACTGTAATTTGTACTCAAGTAATTGTCCATTAACCAAGACACCCTTGTTTTTCTCACTTTTTTCCCCTAATACCTTAACAGTTTGAGCCATAACCCCCCAAAGCCAATCCTAACCATCCCTTTCTGGGTGCACTCGACTCCAATCTTAATTGACTAGGATTGTCAGTTTTCCTATCGAAGGTCGGTGGTTTTCTCCGGGCACTCCGGCTTCCTCCACCAATAAAAACTGGCCGCCACGAAATAGCCCAAAAGCGGTGCTTAAAAGTGGCGTTAAAACACCAAAAATTCAAATTCAAATTATTTGACCTACTGCCTATAGTATATGAGAAACGGGCCTAATCACGCAACTTTAACCTTGATCACGGATTCATGAAAGGATGTCGAGGTCAATTGAACTCTTGACTGACGGACATGAAGACGTTGCTAGGAACCCATATACTTTCCCATATGTTCATTTATTTACCAAATAGTGTTTAGAATACATAGAACACGATTACTTTGCTATGAATGACTAAAAGAATATAAGTGATTTCTACTGGTGACTGAAAGCAGAAAATAACCCATTTTATTAGCAAGGTTTATTTCGTTGTTCAGGGCTGTTTGTTGCAGTTGAATAATAGGCACGTTTCTGTCACACAGACGAATACTTTCAATAACAAAACATAATAACAAACGCGGAATACATTTGATCCAAATTGTAGTTTGAAACAGATCTGCAAGATATAGAAATGCGTGGGAAATAATCTGTAAAATTAATTGCATTAATACGTATCAACAATTGTGAGAATAACATTATTTTCCTACTCGGCAACAAGTTTTTATTACGAAATAGTTTAAAGAAATAACAGAACCTTTTCCTGAAACTATTTAAACTGAAAAACCAAAAGAATCTAAAAAAAAAACCTATTTAAGAGTGGAGGGGATGTTCCCCTTGCCCCAAGCCAGCTCCTATGCGAGTGGTAACTATGTGTCAATATGTTTACCACCTAATCAACAGTAAATGTTTGGTCTTCAAATCATTAACCACTCTAAATTTCAAAATATTTCAGCCAGTGAACAATTTGTTTTGAATTTGCCAAAGACTAAAAGATTGATTGTGAATACAATGTTTGCATCCCAAAAGAATTATTAAAGGAGCTTCCATAAATAATTCTTGCCAAGTAAAGTTTAAATTGGCATTTTTTTAACTGCAAAGTTTGAGGGGAGTTATTCATGAACACAACCAGAAGCTTACTTCGAACGTTTCTGAAGACAGCATTCATTGAGAAAATCGTTCTTCCATGTGAACGGACAATTTCTAAATTCAAACCTCTTCCATTCATCCATGAGAGCCTTTTTGAATATCAAATAGTATTATTTGAAAAACAACTATTTCAATATATATTATCATGTTGAGAATCGAGATGAAATACTTTCGTTTTTATACAGAATGCTTATTTATTCATTTATGATATGAAACCTCTAGAAATAATATATCTGTTCACGACTCAACATATTCCTCAAGGACATTCTTTAATTAAGTTTGTACATAACAAGGTTTGACGGTAAGCTAACTGTGCGGTCAGTTACTGACTATTATTTGAAAACATCAAATCTGTTTCTATAGACATACACAAATAATGAACAGCTGAGGTCAGATATGCTTAATAATCGAATGAAAATCTAGGTCTATACTTTATGAAGGGATCCGAGACTGATGATTGATAAGTACTCCTAGAAGGTTGCTATTTTTTTCAGATGTCTGTATTTTTATTTCATATTTGCCTCTGACTGATTGGCAACAAAACACTTTTCTATTACATCTCCATAGAATAACTGTAAATTCTGTTGGGATGAAAATCTGATGGCTAAACTAAAATTTAACTTAACATGTATAATTAACCAAATTGCACCTGCATTGGTAAAAAGAGAATGTTCTTTTTATGTTCATTACCTCCAAAGTCACTGAAAAAGCTTTATGTCAGACTGAGTATAGTTATTACACATTTGATAATTAAAATACTTAATCAGGTTCTCGGAAAGTAGAGATTGTAAAAATTCTGTCGGAGTCAAATTACAGTGCGTGTGTATGGGGCTTTGTTAGCCAGCGGATATTTTACCATATCATAAATCTATTACTAGAAGTGTGCAAACTTTTGTTAAGTATTTGGATCACACTGTTCCAAGCTTACACGAAACTTAGTTGGGGCATTGGCGCGAAAATTAAATATTGAATATAGGAAGAAACATATTTTTCTGGGTTTTTTTTACCAAGGGGAGGACATAACACAAACCTACATCCTCGAATGTTATCAAAACTAATTATGCCAGTTGCAACTTGATTTAGACAGGTAAATACTTTATAACATGGTTGATAATGTTGGGATAAAACCTATCTTGTTGTCATATTCATTGACGTTACAAGGTTGTGATACAGGGATTCTTGAAGAGCAGATATCCGAATTAAAAATAACAATAAAAAATTTATTTGTTTCATGGACATTTGTCTCCCCTTCAAATTCCATTGTTGCAGACATTGCTGTATTAGAGAAATAATAACAAACTAAGCTTCATGTTATCCGATATGGCTTCCCGTACATACTCCTGAAACCTGAAAATTTTATCTAGTTAGATGTTTTAGATCAATACTGTCATCAATCCTTTTAACATTTAGGTAGTTTATGCCACATGAATCTTGGTACATTCTTATGCTGATAGCACATGCACTTGCCATCAAGCTTAACCTTTTAATATGAACTGAAGGTCATATGTTTCATTTTACACTTCAAATCAAGGATAAATGACCAACCTTATAACAATAAAATACTTAAAGTATCCGTACAATAAGTGAAATGTCGTAAATATTAATACTAGTAATAATATTTGAAAATAAACAAGAGTGCACACGCTTAAATTTCTCTCCTGCTTTACTGACCATGATTAATTTGATGAAGAAAGTCATAAAGATAAAGGTTTTACTACACGTATCACATTAACTTTACATTATGAATAATCCATGTCAAGGTCAGATAAACCCTGCCAGACAGAGATGTACACATTACAATCATTCCATACACCAAATTTTGTTGACCTTTTGCTTATAGTATCAATGAAACAGACCAAACCATGAAAACTTAGCATTGACCAATGAACCATAAAAAGAGGTCAAGATCAGATGATACATGTAAGAGAGAAATGTACACCTTACAATCATTCTGTGCACCAAATATAGTAAACTTTTTGCTTATAGTATCTTAGAAACAGATTTAACCAGGAAATTTAACATTGACCAATTAACCAGGAAAATTATTTAAGTAAGTTATGCAAAGTCAATGAACCATGACTGAAGGTACAGGGCCAAAACATCTCCATGGAAATATCATTGACCTACCACTAGTGGTTCCTCATAAACTGACCTAATCACAAACTAATACATGTAAACTACGCTAAAGTTTCAAAGTCAATAGACTATGACTGAAGGGGCAGGTCAAATAATCTCTGAAAATGAGATGTTCCAATGCTAATACAACTGCATATCAAATATCATTGATCTACCACTAGTGGTTCCACATAAACTGACATAATTACAAACCAATATATGTAAACTAAGCAAAAGTTTCAAAGTCAATGAACCATGACTGAGGGGATGGGGTAAAATAATCTCCATGAAAATGAGATGTGCCAATGTTAATACAACTGCATACAAAATATCATTGACCTACCACTAGTGGTTCCCCATAAACTAACCTAATCACAAACTAATACATGTTAACTAAACAAAAGTTTCAAAGTCAATAGACAATGACTGAGGGGTTGGGGCCAAATAATTTCCAAGGAAATGAGATGTGCCAATGCTAATACAACTGTAATCCAAATATCATTGACCTACAACTGGTGGTTTCCCATAAACTGACCTAATCACAAACTAATACAATTTTGACGCCAACACTAACGGAAACAGCATATCTATGTCTCGCTTTTTGACTCTGTCATGGCAAGATAATAAAAACGGAAAGGTTTTTAACTTATTTTTGAACAAAAATAATTTTTTTTGATTCTGACTCTAAACAAGAGGATCTGGTAATTTAATAGAAACTGGTTTATTCACAAAAGAGGACTGCATTTAAGATTCAGCCTACAATGAATATGAGGTCAAGGTTAAGTTCCAAGTGTAATACTGATATGGACACTAATTGAAGCATTTACAGATTAATTATATATAAAGTAAATATTGTTGGTCTTGATATTCATTCTCAGAATAATCTCATCAATAAAACAACATTAATTTTATGGGTTCATGAACTATGAAAATGTTGTCAAGGACAACTGAAATATGGCAAATGGAAGTTTCAGACCATAATCCATCTTTATATAAAATATGGACTGTGTAGCTTCTTTTAATACCCTCTGATATATGAAGATTTATATAACAAGTTAACCTGTCATTATTTCCAGTATAGCATACTATTATACTGTTTAATAATAAATTAATTAACAAACATTCATAACTAAAAACAAATGTTCTTCAACAACATTCCTTGAAATAAAATCACAAATAGCATTCAATTAATATTAATAAACAATCTGAATCTATCTAACTTGGTTGACATTACAATAATAATGTACAACCATACATTTATATAAATGTTCTAATGTATTAAAATCATTCAAGATGTACTTACATACAAGCTGTCCCTCTGTCATCAATTTATAAATCATATAAAAGCTAACCTTTTAACTTGATGTGACTTAAAACAACTCTTGTATGTTATATTCTGACATTAAAAGGTCAACACATGTAAAAACCAATAAAAGCAACTAAAATGATGTTGAAATATTTTGATATGTGGAATCAATGGAAAACAGAGGCTCCTAGAAGCCTGAATCTCTAACCAGGCAAAAATGCCATATTGTTTAATTTTGATATTGTTCACCAAATATGAATTCATTTTGTTCAGTAGTACCTACAAAACATGTAACAGAAATATTTGTTAGACGAACTGACAGACAAGGTGAAAGGCTGCAGTAACTTTAATCATCCATAAATTAAATCTAGTTATCCACTTCAAAGCCAACGAAAAGATCAGTTTTACCTTTGAGCTAATACATCTAAAAACCAAATACCATTGACCTACCACTAGTGGTCCCCCTTAAACTGACCTAGTCGCAAACAAATACATGTTAACTAAGCAAAAGTTTCAGAGTCAATAGTTCATGACTGAGGGGGCTGGCCAAATAATCTCCCTGAAAATGAGAGGTGCCAATGCTAACACAACTGCATACCAAATATCATTGACCTACCAGAAGTGATTCCCCATAAACTGACCTAATCACAAACTAATACTTCTAAAGAAAGCAAAACGTTTCAAAGTCAATAGACCATGACTGAGGGGGCGAGACCAAATAATCTCCATGGAAATGAGATGTGTCAATGCTTATACAACTGCGTACCAAATATCAATGACCTACCACTAGTAGTTCCCCATAAATTGACCTAATCACAAACTAATACATTGTTGAAGTCGCCGCCCACGCCAATGGAAAATGCATACCTAAGTCTCGCTTTTTGACACTGTCAAGGCGAAAAAAAAAGAAGAAATATATCTAAAGCACCACCATTTGCTATCAGATCCAAAACCTCTTTAAATCTCAAGTTATAATGTAGTGTTCATAAATATATCTCATCCAATTAAACTTAACCTGTGTTTTAATTCCAGTTTATCTAGGAGATTTAAAGACTCCTAGAGGAGATTTGTAAATTTAGTTCCGTTTGGAAAATAGTCAATTCAATTCTACTTGTCAAGATTCTAAATGGCCAGAAGTTAAAAATGTGATCAAATAATTCATTCCAACACTTACAGTTTAAAAAGAAGAACTGAAATGTTCGAATTTTTTACCAGGAGATAAAGATCCAAACACAGTAAGCACCTTCAACACCTGGAATTAAAAAACCAGAAGTTTCAATCACTGTAGCTTTTCAACACTATGATCACATTCTCTAATACAAAGTCTTGTCTGCTCTTTATCTGGCTAATCAATGTCACTACATGTTTAACTAATCCTGTTCTTTAATCTCTTAATTTAAATCTCATTTTTATAATTATGAAAAATCAACTGGTTGTAATGACTTCATCCTATTTCTTGACCTCCATATTCTAATTGTTTGGTCATCACCAGACGTCACCATTGTCTCACAATCTTTAGGGTTAAACTCTAAACCATTAACCACCCCCTCTTTATGTTGTAAGGTTGTTATCAAACATCTGTAATATTTATCCCATAGGTAGGCTTTTGCTTCTTCACTTCCACTGGAAAAAAATTCCAATTGTAAGTAATTTTACATCATGGAAATATAAGAATATCAAACTACTATTATGTTTCCTAATTTGAATGCACAGGATATAGTTACCACTAATGAAATGTTATGATGCTAAGTTAATTGTGTATTTATAAAAAATTTTAACAGCCAATCAGGATGAGTCATTTGTCAACACTGTCAGATTCAACATTGTAAATTAATTAGTAACTTCTTTAAGTTTATTGAAATACAAAACTGTACAGTATAAAAAAATAATAATTTTGATCATTAAATTTCTCTCTCAAACTTTATTAGGTGTAGATTTTTCTCTTTGTTCAACCTGTTCAAACTCTGAGAGTCCCTCATGGGTAGTCGAGGCTGTTAAACACTCCCCTAGTAGTAGTCTCTCATACAAATAAAGGGAGACAAATTTATAACTTTGTTTATCCTAACCTTGCCACAATATCATCGGATGTATCCAGACAGATGTACCATGCTGGGTATTCTGAAAATCCTTTGTGGCCCTCATACACAATATCAGGTATTATCTGTTTTGTCTGCAGGTCTATAACATTTACTTGTAGATTTTCTTTTAAGTGTAGATAGTCTTCCCATTCTTCATTTTCCTCTTCTTTGACTGCTTCACGAAAATTAAAATATAAATACCTGAAATAATAATATTAAAATATTTTTATAATACTAAAAAAGCATTAGAGAGTAAAAATTTTTAATTCTAAAATTATCTGAGTTATTTCTATTATTAAAATTCACTTAATAAGATAAATATTCTAAATTTAAAATTTCTTACTTTCAATTCCTTGACTTTTTTTTCACATTCCCTGGTAGTTTTTCTCTTGCCCTACCTATATGCAAGACATATGAATTTTAGAACACTGAACGGAGTATCAGTGCACTTTTCCTATGCAAAGTTTTTTCTTATGAATTTTACCACAACCTGATTCCTAGCCAGATTGTGACTTAGAAAATAATCATATTGTGTTATAAACATTGTGGACATAAATCAACAATATTACCGTCCCAAATTAAAATTACCTATCATTTTATGTAGTCTTTGTATTATTTTTTGTAAAAAAACATTATTTTTTAAATTCATTAAATTAAACTTGGATATTCCTTCTAAAATGTAATTTAATTTTAGGACAAGTAGATTGAGAGTTTTACTCAGATTAATCAAATCCAACTGTGCCAACAACATAAACAAACAGCATTTAGAATTTAACTTAAATACTGGACATATTTTAAGTACATTACATTCTCTTTTGCTTGATTTATTATTTCTGTTCTTTCAATCTCGTATTAATTTTCATTTTACACCTCAATTAGAGCCAAAAGCCAGACAGACGACAAAATTACAGCACATCATGATTCATTTTTGAAAACCAGACTGAAAAGCCATCTGAAACTAACATTTAAGATTCACCAATAGTCATCCTCAAAGGCAAAACAAAAACAAATTGTCTTACCTGTGGTCATGTGACAATTTCATACCAGATATGTACTGTCCAGGTCTGCGAATGACATCATAGCTGAAAGGTCGTACAGCATTGGCTTCATCAAAATCTTTTGTTGTTTTTACATTCTTTAACTCATGTAAAATTATACAATCATGAACACCTGCCACAAAAATCAAGTATTTAATGCACGTATCACCATTATTTCTATCTCTGTTGTATATCACAGAATTTGCGTTTCTATTTATATCACATTTTGGCATCAGAGGTTTTGGTTTGATGGGAACATTAGCTACCATTAGGTTCATAGTATGATTGCAATCCGCATAAAATGTACACAGTCTATTTCCATCTGTATTATCTAATATCTCCTGAGGGTTTGGAGTCGTTACTGTTTCAATATTCCTTCTATTCCTTTTATCCGGAACCTGTGAAAAAGTATTACAATCAATTTATAATATCAATGGGATGTTTCTCACTTAAAGTGTTGCAAACAAGATATAACTTGCGAAGTGAATTTGGCTGATAATGTTTTTTTCACATTTAGCCCTTTATTAGTTCAATCATTCAAAATAGGCTGATTTTTTTTTATCCTTGTGACATACTTGATATTTGACTATATCAGTGATAGAAAGATCAGCATGATATAAGCTTTGACTATATGACTTAAGGCATCATGTGACCAGGTTCCTGACTTGTGACAGGCACATGTTGTGGGATGAAGCTGGTCTTTTTCAGCACTTAACTTAGTTGTACAAAGATATCTTTTTAACTTGCATAGGATGTGATTTTTAATTTATTCATAGTAACCAGCTGCATTAAAAAATCAGTATTGTTGGTCATATCAAATTTGAAAACTATCAGAATAACATTGAAATAATTTCACAAAAGCATTGGTTGTAATTCTAACATGCATACCATAGCTGAGGTATTTTCTTTAAACAACAAATTTTGCTTTAAAATTAAGGATATCATTTAAATTTCATTGGACACACAGTCCCAGCGAGTCATGCTAGTAGAGCATGTCATAGACTACCTATGTTAGCAATATTTTAAAATAAGTAAACATTTATTTTGAATTATCTCCCTTTCATAGTAGCTACTTCAATACTAATTATAGTGTTGAAAGTTAGGTAAAACAGAAAGGAAACTGCTTTATATTCTTCAAAAGTGTAAGAACTGCCTAAAAACTGCCTGCTTTTTTAACTTTTAATAGTTTTTAAAATATTCCTAACGTACAATCATTTTGGCACAAAGACATACAAAGTTCAATTTAATTTCAGTTAGCATTTGATAGCAGTTAACCTGTTGTGCAATTAATTATGCATAATAATGCATTGATAATAAACGTATGCCACTAATTCTTGGCCTCATTGCTTTCTATGTTAAATTCTTCTATTCAAGCATTCATAGCTCTTTTATCTAAAGTTCAAGTAAAGTGACAGCCATTTAATGTCAAAGCACTACCTTAGTTTGTATTGTGCTGAAAAAATTAACATACCTTTGATTGCATGTAAGAGGGCACTGGTTTCCAGAGCTGAGGAGGTACCAAGGCAGGTAATTCCGATCTGAGAAACAGGCAAAATGTACCCTCCTTTTTAAATTTAATGCATTTATTTTATTATTCAAAATTATTCAATAATGACCAGTCATTCAGCTTTTATTTGATACCAAAATTAGCTAAATATTCTACATATTTTGAAAGGAACTATCTTGTTTTAAACATGTACTACTTTCTGGTATGTTCTTTCTGACCTGGCATGAAATAAGTGGTGTTACACCTAATACCCTACCTTGAATGAATTAATCGTAAGATGATCATGATTTGTGGCATATCCACCTACACAAACTTCTGTATCTGCCCAATCAGCAAAAAGATGTGGTGGGTTCATACCCATCACTCTAATTATAGTGAAATCTGCAAAAAAAAAACAAGTGAAACTATAGAAAATGGAGAACAAATATCAGAATGAGTGCTGTGACTTTGTACAGTGAAATCCCAAAGAATGAGTGCCAAGACTTTGTATAGTGAAATCCAAAAGAATGAGTGCTGTGACTTTGTACAGTGAAATCTAAAAGAATGAATGCTGTGACTTTGTATAGTGAAATCTAACAGAATTAGTGCCGGGACTTTGAATAGTGAAATGTGAAATCCCAAAGATTGAGTTCTGTGACTTTGTACAGTGAAATCCAAAAGAATGAGCGCTGTGACTTTGTATAGAGAAATCCAAAAGAATGAGTACTGTGACTTTGAATAGTGAAATCCCAAAGAATGAGTGCTGTGACTTTGTATAATGAAATCCAAAAGAATGTGTGCTGTGACTTTGTATGTGTATAGTGAAATCGAAACGAATGATCATTGTTAGAGAAATACATTTAAAAATGTCATTATTATAGATTCTTTCATTATAAGTGAAACATTTCAACCTCATGTTCAAATTTAGAGGAATGTGGAAAATGAGTCTTTGTGATTCTCACTTCATTTTAAAAAAGCTGTCTCCTAAGTTGGACAAATATCAAATCTGATTCTAAAGTATAATTTGATGTTTCTCTTAGAATATTTAAATAAATTACAAGCTTTAACTTCAATTCACCATATATGAAATTGAGTCAAGATTGAGTCAAGGTCATGAGAAATAGAATTCCTAAAATACTCTTTCAGATAATATCCTTGCATAGAATAAAGAACAGACAGACATGATCATGTGCAATGCCCTGAGTAAATTTGTACAGAATTTCAATGCAGAAAAAAACAAAAGAATGACTTAGTTATGTTTCTTTATGGATTCTTTAAAGTGGCAACCAATGAAAAACAATAAGTGCAATAACATTTAAAACAATTTCTTCTCTGTATAATTCAGGTAACTGTAGATAAATTCATACTTTTAGAAAAAAATAAATGGAGAATGTGTCCACATGGAAACAGATGATGCCCCTTCTTGCATACAACATTATAAAGGGACATAACTCAAGAACGATAAAAGTGACGCTACCCAAATTTGTACTTAATCTGAGTTTTAAGGTAATAACTATTGTGTATAGGTTTCATAATGTTTGGTTGGGGCAAACTTAAGTTGCAGAACGGAAACTAAAAATTTTGCAATTTTTCGATTTATAAAGGGGCACAACTCGATAATGATTAAAGTGACGCTACCAAAATTCAACTTGATCTGTGTTTCGTGGTAAAAAGCATTGTGTATAAGTTTCATAACATTTGGTTGAGGCAACTTAAGTTAGAGAACGGAAACTAAAAATTTTGCAATTTTACCATTTATAAAGGGCCATAACTCTAGAATGGTAAGAGTGACCCTACCAAAATTCAAACATGATCTGTATTTGGTGGTAATAAGCATTGTGTATAAGTTTCATAACATTTGGTTGAGGCAAACTTAAATTAGAGAACGGAAACCAATTTTGGGATGTACGTACGTATGTACAGACAGACAAGGGTAAAACTTAATGCCCCCTCCGCTATGGCGGGGGCATAAAAATGGAAAATTATCTCCTTTAGAAATTTTAAAAAGAACTGATCATATCTAGCATACCTTGTGTCATGTCAAAGATGGCTCCATGTCCCATGAAGAACTCGCTGTAGAAGGGTCCACTGATATTTACACCACACACCAATAAATAATCATCTGTTTTGTTAAAAACAGCATATTGTGTTAAACTCCATTCTAACATTTCTTTTAAATCTGCTGAATACTTCAGCTTTGTTGGAAACCCAATTTCCCATACCTTGAAAAAATAAAGTAAAATGTCCAAGCTAAAAAAAACATCATTTTAACAGAATTTGAAGTTTATTACTACAAAAATATTATGTCAAAATTTTCACTCATTTTGATAACCTTTTAAAAAGTTATATGAATCATTTTATTCCAAAGAAATTAATGGAGATGGTGCTTTTCTTTTGTTGTTAAGTATATATATTGTTGATATATCAATAAAGTTTGATTGCAACGAAATATTGTGATTTCCTTATGAAATAATCCAATAATTTCACCCGTCCTATGTTATACAATAATAGATGTTGTCAAGACACACAAATTTAGTATGCATAGAAAAAATATTGGTCTTTGCATTTTCTACTTTATTTTCATTATAAAGTAAGAAAAGGATAACTAATGCAAGAATAGAAATATCGAAAAATATTCAACTTGTGACTGAACAACAATATGCACATTTGTGAATAAATGTGTTGATAGTTAATACTTTCCTTGTTGAATATTTTTATATATTTGAAGTCTTGAATTATATTACTTATTCTATAAATATATCTTAATGACAAGAGTGCACACGCTGAAATGTCTCGCCTACTTTCTTTACTGACCATTGATTTTATGTTGATAGTTCTAAATATAAAGCTTTACTACAAGTATCACATAAACTTAACATGATCCAAGAAAATGAGGTCAAGGTCAGATAAACTAAACTGGAAATACATGTACACCTAACAATCATTCCATACACCAAATAAAGTTGACCTATTGCTAATAGTTTCTAAGAAACAAAATTGACCAGGAAAACTTAACATGGCCATTGAACCTTGAAAAAGAGGTCAAGGTCAGATGAACCATGCCAGACAGACAGGTACACCTTACAATTAATCTATGTATTAAATATAGTTGACCTATTACTTATAGTATCTAAGAAACAAATTTAGCCATGAAAACTTAACATTGACCAATGAACCATGAAAATGAGGTCAAGGTCAGATGATACCTGCCAGACAGACTTATACACCTTATAATCATATTCCATACACCAAATATGGTTGACCTGTTACTTATAGCTTTAGAAAAACAGACCAAAACACAAAACTTAACACTGAGCAATGAACCGTAAAAATGAGGTCAAGGTCAAATAAAACCTGCCAGACTGACATATACATCGTAAAATATTTCAATACACCAAATATAGTTGACCTATTGCGTATAGTATAAGAAAAAAAGACCAAAACACAAAAACACTTCAACCACTGAACCATAAAAATGAGGTCAAGGTCAGATGTCACCTGCCAGTTGGACATGTACACCTTACAATCATTCCATACACCAAATATAGTAGACCTATTGCTTATAGTATCTGAGATATGGACTTGACAACAAAACTTAATCTGGTTCACTGATCCATGAAATGAGGTCGAAGTCAGATGAAAACTGTCTGACAGGCATGGTGACCTTGCAAGGTACGCACATACTAAATATAGTTATCCTATTACTCACAATAAGAGAGAAATTAACATTACAAAAAATCTTAACTTTTTTTCAAGTAGTCACTGAACCATGAAAATGAGGTCATGGACAATATTACTGGACATATGACAGACAGAAACTTCATAACATGAGGCATCTATATACAAAGTATGAAGCATCCAGGTCTTCCACCTACTGATATATAAAGCTTTTAAGTAGTTAACGCTGCCGTGGCCGCCGCCGGATCACTATCCCTATGTCGAGCTTTCTGCGAAAGAAGTAGTAGGCTCGACAAAAAACTAATTGTGTTGTGAGAAAAAAAGTCTTAACAGATAATTTTGTTATCTTCTGTATGACAAGGCAATGAATCCTTTGGGTAATTTTTTTTGTCATGGATCCCAAGGGTCTTATCAAGTTTTTGAACTGAAAAAAAGTCAATGTACATTGAAAGCAACCTGTTTAAGTAACATATTGCCAAATGTTTTAGGAATGCTAAGTAACATGTAGCCAAACGTTTCAGGAATGCTAAGTAACATGTAGCCAAATGTTTCAGGAATGCTAAGTAACATGTAGCCAAATGTTTCAGGAATGCTAAGTAACATGTAGCCAAATGTTTCAGGAATGCTAAGTAACATGTATCCAAATGTTTCAGGAATATATGTGCATTGAAAGAACATTTTTGTAATTTGTACTTAAAAAGGCACCAAATGGGGGCTTGGAATAAGTTGCATTCCTTTAAGCACTCGGTATATTTTACACACATTTATCTCACCTTGACAGTGCAGTCTTTTGAAGTAGTACACACATATTTTCCATTATGAGAAAATGCTACATCTAGTACTTCGTCAGTGTGATCTGTGAGCACTTCACTTTCAATTGCTGGTGTGTGATAATAAAATCGTTTGTACTCACTGTACCAGGAGTCTTTACCAGGAGCTAGTTCTGTATCTGAAATACAGGAAATTCAATTCTTAAAATCATTGCTTTCTTCATGAACCCAGTACACACACTGTATACATGTATCAGGTATTTCTGAGACTAATTTTGACTGTTCACTGCACAACTGCAAAAAGCAATAAGATTAACTATAGAATATCCTGGAAGGCTCTGCACACTTCAGAATTCTTGGCTGGAGGAGTATAAAAGATGTGGCCATTTAGAATAAGTTGACCTTTCAGAATTAAATTTTTTCTCTGAAAGCCATGTTTCACCTCAAACTTATGGAAATGAAACATTTGAATAAAAGATTTTCCATGGGGTTTTCCTTAAAAATTAGTGAATGATGGACAGTCTTAGAAGAGCTCATAATAGTGCGAAAAAGTCAAAGGATAGAAGCCTTTGAAAGCTATGTTTTAGACAAAAATTAAGGAAATAAACAATATCCTTGCAAAAGATTTACAGGTTTGTGTATCTTAATACTTAAGAATATAAGAAAATTTAAAAAAATTCAATGGTCTACTCAATAGACTTTATTGCTAGTACTTCAACATCACCATTAACAAAACATTTAAACATCTGGAATGCTGGACCATGAAAAATGTTAGTCACTGATGCATACTTTGGAGGTGCAGGCCAAAATGTCTTCTTGAAATAGAAATGAGGGAATGTTATTGCAACAGCAACCCTAATATAAATAATCTAGTATTTCTTCATAAACACACTCCAAGCTGAAAACAACTTATTTTGGGTATGGCAAAAATTGCAAAATGACTGAAGTGTGACTAAGGGATGTGGCCTTGCATCCTTCTTGAACAAATTCTACTGCAGCAGGATACTAAACATCAATGGTCTGCCATACATACTTCTGAACTATAAATTCCAAATTCACTGAAGCTTTGCATGACTTAGGACGCAGATCCTCACTTAGACTTAATGCATGTCAAACAGAAAACCTTATACTTGCACTTCAATTTCGATGATGTCACTGGCCCATGACTCAGGAGACCGTGCATCATATATTGAATGCATTTGAATTGTATGGATGCTGATGCAAGAGAATAAAACGTATCAATTATGTATCAGAAGCATTTCATGTATTTATTCTGTAATGGACCTATTTTCTGCCAGTGATATCTGAAAAGTCAAAACTATGTCTCCCCAATGCATCATTCATAGCAGGTAAAACAAAAACCAGCATTTAAATGTGAAGTAAAAGTTTATATACTTTTGATATTATATGTTCTCCTCATTAACTTCCTCCATAAAGTTTCATCTAAAGCCACACGCTGCCATTTCTTGCAGACTGCAGTAATGTTTACTAGGTCTTGAAACTTTAAATACTGGAAAATTTCTAACAACCATGTATCTGGAATGTCCTGCCACATATTACTGTCCTGTCAAAGTCCTTTTCATTAGGTCATATCAGCATCACACTGGCTTTTCAAACCATTTCATCATCTGTAAGTAAACTGTACAAGAATAAAAGAAAATCAATTAAAATGCAAGTCGTTCATAGTGAAAACAGGCTTTAAAATTTCTAGACTATGTATTTTAAAAATATCTTTGTTTCAAAATGTACTGGTTTCACCCTTTTTTTTTAAATTTATGTCTTGCTGTGTCTTTTATGATAAGAAGAAAAAACATAGAGTTAAATGGTGGACTCATTGTGAAAATGCATATGAGCAGTGTGGGGGTTCCAAACTGAGCAAGCATGCCCTTCACCGTTAGGTATCATACGGTCATTTTCGACTACCATTAGCTTCAAATTGGTTAAAGTGTTATCGTGATTCGTCAAAATATCCTTATCGTGATTTAGTCAGAGGTCTCAAATAATTAACCGTTACCGTTATTTTTGGAAATGATTTACCATGATTCGTCAAAATCAGTAGATTTTTTTATCATCCTAAAGAAAAAGTACATTTTACTGTCACACACCAAAAATTACTGTTAACGTTGTTTGGTAAAAAATTATTCGTCATGAAGATACCCCACTACAACCCTCATATGATGCAGGACGCGGCGTCCATACTGGCGCAACCTCCATAGGATGTATTGGCCATACTTTGAAGAGATGTATCGGCCGTGGGACAACATCGTCCATACGTTGTGAAGACGCGTCGTCTGTGGTTTCTTTTTCGGAAATAAATTTCATCTATAAAGAATTGTGATATATACATGTAGATGGTTATCATATAACTTGTAAATGTATTGTGCTGTAATTACATTATTATTATCATCTTAACGGATCTTTAATACCTTGCGTAAAACAAACTGAAAAAATAAGACAAATAAAAATGAATATCCATAATGGGAGATTAATTTCTGTCATAGTTAAAACAATAAGTTTAGTTTTGAAATATCAAACTAAGTAATCAGATAACGATTAATTTTGACATTTAAGAAGATTGTGAATTGCTTATTATAATTTCTTTGATGAACACAAGTATTAATTATGCTTTTGTCAAGAAATTGTACATAATACTACAAAATCATACTTATGTTATGACTATGAAAGTTTATAATATAGTGTTATTAACTCGCTGTTTCTGTATTGGCCCTGTTCTAGATTCGAGGTTAGCTGTATTGGACCTGAGACTCGAAGAGTCGAGGGCCAATACAGCTGATCGAGAATCTATAACAGGGCCAATACAGAAACAGCCAGTTCATAACACTTTTAATAAATGATTATAAGAAAATTAAAAACCGGAAGTGAACGACCCGTATTAGCCCATGGGCCAATACGGCTTTTTTCCATATTGGCCTTGTTTTTTCCGTTTCAAGACTTTAAGACATTACAAAACATTGCACATCATTTAACCTGTTTATTTTATGATTTTAATTTAAAAAATATAATACAAATGTTTTTATGCATTATGATACCACCAAAGTTAATTAATGGCGTAAGAAAATTGAAACCGGAAGTGAACGTCCTGTATTAGCCCATGGGCCAATACGGCTTTTTTCCGTATTGGCCCTGTTTTTTTTCGTATTGGCCCTGTTCGAAAAGCAATATTAACTTTTGATTTATATCGACAGTGGTACGTTTTCAGTATTGCACATGCTGATTTATCCGTATTAGGGCTGATTTGCTCATATCATTTAATAATACTTGTTGTATTATTAATTTATATTTTTTAACCACAATGGAATAAATTCTTAAAGTATTGATGATACGTCCTGTGGACGATGTGGCGGTATGGTCAAATCAAAGAATTGTCGATGTTGTGATCCAGCCATATTGATAGCTAGTCTGATATTCTTTCTGACCATTCTTTTTTCAATATTTTTTTCCTCTTTTCATTTCGATAATCTTACTGTAAATGTTTTATGTTATTGTCAAATGATAGGGAATTTTGCAATATTGATGCAAATATTTATATTGATATTTCAATTCTAGACACTGTCAGATTTTTTTTTATAAATATTTGCAATTTAATGGTTTTGACAAGAATGAAAAGGGAAATTTTCAAACAAATGATATATCTTTTTATATGCCATTTATAATAATTGGCTTAATAATTTCCAGAAAGAGGTTGGTAATGCACTTTCTCAACAACAAAAATTTATAATAACTATTTTTTATCTAAATTGTTGTTCATTCTTCATTTAGAAAAAATACATTTCCTGTATTCAAATTTTAATGTACAAATACCTAATGCTGAGATACACGTATTTCCATTTATTGTTAAATAGCAATATAATGAATGGAGAACAAACAAATAAATTTTATTGCAGAATATGCTCAGGGAAGAGTTATGCAATTTTAGTTTATTGTTTCAACCAAATTTCTGATAATTGTAACTAGTTAATTAGAACTTGATAAATGTGTTCATGTGCAAATAAAAAGAAATTCATTATAAAAAAAGAACTTGATTATGATGATAATGACACTGATTTTACAAGTGAAATAAAATTTGCTTGCATTTTATTTTACATATTTTTATATTTTTTGTCTTTTATTTGAAAAAACCCACATTTGATTAATCATTCAGCTAGCTAACACACAAAATTGACAGAATATTTCAATGTAGTGTACATCAAAATAAATAATACATTTGTAGGTTTACTATTGAGGTCAATAATTTGTGTATTCAGTTAGGTGTGTAATATATTGTGTCTATTTAATTATGTAACAGGTCATGAGATATTAATTAACTGTGGGGAATTAAGACTGGAGTTGATTCCAATTACTACTTACACCTTTGAGTGTAATTGTTTGAAAATCATGAGTTGATCATCATACTGGTATAGTATCAATAAAGGAAGAATTGGAGTAATAGCATTTCAAAATAAAGTGTGGGAATCAACTTGGATATATCAATACACATCTTGAGTGACCCAAATTTTCTTCAATAACTTACACAGGCATAAGATACTAAAAAAATACTTTCAAAATTCTTATCAATTGATTAAATTGATGTATATTATTTTTTCACATTAATTCATAAATAGTAAATTATTATAAATTTTGATTTAGAAAGGAACTATATGCAAGTGTATATCTAAAATAAAGTCACTATTCGACCAATATTTTCTTAATTTAAGGGCAAATAACATGTCAAAAGTTGCAAGTTGATGATTAAAATGGTGTATAAAGTTTCTGCAAGTCATAAAAACACATAATTAGTTTCATGATATGTCTTCAACTTAGTATTCTGCACCATCTCCAAAAACAGAGTGATTGCATAGATCCAGCATGGCTGAATCAAAAATCCTATGGAGGACGTGGCCGTGGAGTCTCGAAAGCCCCTCATACTCTAGTTTTGGACTGACAAGTGATATGGATATTTCTGCAACTTTTAAGTTACTTAATATTTGTGATAGATGTTTTCAGGTTTCTTTTAAGTAAACCAAGGCTTTAAATTGCATTTGCGGTGATATTGGTTGTGTGTTGAGTCGATTTTCAGTCTAACAAATTGGAGAGTAAGGCCAAGATATTTTGCTGAGGAAACAGATTCTAAGATTCTAACATTTGTCTATGTGATGGTTGTGAAGATTGTAATGATGTTCGATTGGAGTCCGCAAATTATCCAAAATAGAATAAGGACCATAAGAGCTACGGTTCCGCAGCTAGATTTAACACAGATGAGATTTCCGTACCAAGAAATGTTTCTGCGTTACCAACCTCAGATGAAAGATAACACTAAGATACCAGATTTTGAAACCAGTCGTCTTCCGAACAGAAATAATTGAATGACTATTGACCACAAAGCTTTACAAAATGATAATTGAACAGGAAGGTAAGAATCAAGGAAATAAAATGATTGATTGTGTATCAAATATTCATCCTTTCACTTTGTTTATGATCATATTACAGTTTAATTAATAAAACAATCGTTAAAAAGATCATGAATATTTATAACGTGACGATATTCATATTTCATATTTACGACATGGTCGGTGTATTGCATAAAACGAAACAAACATGGGCTTTAGTTTAACCAACAAGAAAGAAGCTTTCGGAGTATTTCAAGACTTTTCGTTCTGAAATCCAAGTCAAAACACAGTCACAGGTCATTTTCTACAGTACAGCATTACATTTTTTACACGTGGAATTGATTGGATGAACTGATAGAAAAATTTATCAAAAGCTAAATACATGTACGAGATTTAGTATATTCAGTCATAAAATGTGTAAATTCATAGAGGCTCAGCAAAAGCTCTCTACTACTCGAGACTCTACTGTTCACTACGATTACTAAAACACATATATCTCAAATATTTATGCAAATATTAAACCACAGGCACTTGTTTCTATCCATGGGAAGGGGATACAAGTCAAATCGGCTCCTGGTTAAATCGGCATCTGGTCAAATTGGAATCCAGGTCCGTTCGCCCAAAAACACATTCGCGCCCACTCACATTCGCCCCCATTCACTTTCGCACCCTACACATTCGCATCAAAAGTCCGTTGGCACATACCTGCCAACTTTTGAAAATCCCCATGGGGGTTTTAGTGCGCGACAACAATTCTTTGCGACATATTTTGCGCGTGCTGTTTTGTGGTCTAGAAAAAGTGTCATATTTGTATGATGAGCTTACAAGTCTTTTTCTTAAGTTTATTAGCATGATTCTAGTTATTATTAATATATCAGTAGAAAAGATGAATCTGTAGCTAGAAGACCAGGATTTATTTTCTTGTGTTAGGATATTAAATGATTGTTGACGTTTAAAATTTAAAATTATGCACAAAGAAGGACTTTTATCAGGTTGGGAACAACACCCCAAATGAGGGGTAACCCCTCAATGTAAGGACATTAAAAACCAATTTTAAATACAAATGAGCATAAATCTATCTTATTTGAAGAAACTTTTTCTTAGAATTATACATCTATCTGGTATTATATGGTCAAAAAATGTCCAAGAATTTTGTAATGTTCCTGGATTTTTATCTTCTTTATCATGTTTATCATTAAAAATAATTGGACCCCTCATTTAGAAAAGACTTTAAAGTTGTTCCAAATATAATGAATTTTCCCACTTTTAAGTTAAAAAATCTAAATTTTTCTTTTTTCTTTTTTACAACAGTAAAATGACCCCTTGTCTTAATGTCTTGGGGACAGTCCCTCATTTAAGGGATATACCCCTCATTTGGGGGTTTGTTCCGTACCTGTTTGTTTGGTCCTTGTGAAAAATGAAGTACAAAATGTATAGTACATTGTACTTTAAATGATTTGCCCCATTTGGTTATTTAATTGAATACAAAGATGACATATGTTACAGCAAGTGTAATGTCAATAAATTAGTGAATAAATTACTATTTATTATCTTGATGGTAGTACTGCATCATTGAATTTTGTCAATCAGCCATGCTTTTATTCTTAAGCTGTTTAAGAACCTCCTTGCAGATGAAAATTAACCTTCCATGTTCACGATTTTACAATTCTGACTAACACACAGAGCACTATACAAATCCTTGCACAGAGGAATACAACACAAGTTCAAAATATAGCATGTTAGAATAATCTTAAGAGAAAACATTTTTGAATGGCTTATTAATTTGATCATGAGAAAAACAGAATTTGATTGTCATTTTATTCTTTATTGTGCTAATATAGATAAGGTGAATATTTAAATTTTATTAGATTTTATGATGTGTAACGACAAGCTGAAAGCGCGGAGTACAAGTGATTTAAGTAGATTTTACGATGTGAATACAAAGACAATAAGCTCAATGAGCCGATTTTTATCTTAGATTTTAGATTTTAGAGTGCGAATCTGACTGATGTAATTATTTTACAACGTTTTCTTTTTACGTATGAACTATTTTACCACGTAAACTTAAATAATTCCCCTGTAAATATGTCCAGTAACTAGCCTATGAGTTTTAAATGCAACTAAGAGTACATACAACAAGTTATGCGAGCAACTACAAAAGTGAACTTGTATATATTGGTGGAGGATAGTATTATTCAAAATAGAGTGTACATATATTTCTTCATTCATGGTGGTGGGTTTTGTTCTACATGCCGAACAGATAGTGTAGCGGTGTGGTTGTCCTACAAAGGATGTGAAGATTTGGAAAGAAAGAAAGAAAGATTGGCTGATCACGATTGTCTTCCCTTGGGAACAGTTCAATATCGGGAACTATCATATTTTTCGTGTAGATTTTCACAAAATCGTGTTTTAGAGGTTTTTTCACAATCCCGATCGTGCAATCGTGACAAAGGGTCAAAATCGTGTAGTACACGCCTAAATCGTGAAAGTTGGCAGGTATGTTGGCACCCTACACGTTAGCACCCTTTTTATTGGTTTTGTGTTTAATAATTTTGTAATCGAGTTTTGGTAAGTGTATTGCTGTAAATATTTTTTGGTTCATTGTTTCAAAATAAAGTGAGATTCTGACAACATTTTTTTGTGTTGAATAAATCTTAATAATGTTTTGGTTAGTGTATTAATTGCTATAAAAAAAAAATTTCATTGTTTCTAAATAAAGTGAGATTCTGACAACGTTTGGTTTTTGTGTTGAATAAATCTTAATCATCTTTTGGTTAGTGTATTGCTATAAATTTATGTTTTCATTGTTTCAAAATAAAGTGAGATTCTCACGGTTTTTTTTTTTGTGCTGAATAAATCTTAAATTATGTTTTGGTTAGTGTTGTTATATAATTTTTTTTTTCTTTGTTTCAAAATAAAGTGAGATCAAAGGGGCCAAGCTGTTAAAATCAATTATCTTTCTTGTTTTTCTTTTAAAATCTTCAATGTTTTACTCATACCAAGCTAAATACATGCAGTATTTACATCAAAGCAAGTTAAAAATTAATCATCAAATTGATGAAAAAAAAACCCAAAAAACATTCATATATTTATTCCCCAATTTTTATTCAGGAAAATATATTTTTGTTGTTGTATATACATATAAAAAAAATTCTAATAATTCAACTTGAATTTGAATAAGAATTGGGTGCGAACAGACCTAGGGGGCGAACGTGTGGGGTGTGAATGTGTAGGGTGCAAAAGTGTATTGGGCGCGAACGGACCTGATACCGTCAAATCGGCACCTTTTTAAAGTCAGTTCTGCATTTAGTTGGTCAATTCGGCAGTCTTCACGCTTAACCACAAGACCACCAGCCCAGGCTTGTAAAATTGCTTTTGGGCTTGTAAAATTCTTCTCTACAAGCCAACAGAATTCAACTAAAATTTTCGTAAAATGGAACTTTGGGCTTGTGGATTCAAAAGTTTATCATGAAGACTGATTGGACATCCAATAATATTTGATATAATATATATAAATAATTCTAAATATGTACTACTAAATACTACTAAATAGAGTTTAATGGCGACTAACCTTGCGGGTATTGCGCCAGATTGCCTTATTATAAAAAAAATATATTTTAATATATTTTCTTTAAATTTAGTATTAATTAGGAGTTAACCTGTGTTATGTGTTCATATTATAGTATATTTTGAGTTTTTTTCCCCAACTTTATCTTGATATATCTAAACATTTATTTGTATGTAATATTCTTATTTATCTAGTTTTTACTATAGTTGGTACTTTTAGATAGTTTAATCAACCTGGTTTTATTTTGCATGCTCATTTGTTTATGGTTGATTCAACCATAAACCATTGAGCATGCAAAAATTCATCTCTAACACTCTCAGTCTCAAATAGTTATCATTTTCATACATGGAAAACCCAATTTTTTCGAGGTAAAATGCATATTTTCCCCATATTTTGAATACACATTCCTGACCTAGTATTCCTTTATTGATGTATTTGACTATATGTAAACATTAAGTTTACATGACTATGTAAACATTAAGTTTACATAGTTGACATTATAAAAACATTGTTATTTTATTTTCAAAATGTACAGTTAAAGCATATGACCTCTATGCATTTGTTTTATTGTACGTGTTTGTCATAAACTCGCTTTACAATGGTTTTTTGGGAAGTGAAGTTTAGGCTTGTGTCTATTAGAACAGGCCTATCTTTAATACGGAACAGTTATGAATACAAGAGGCTCTCAAGAGCCTGAATCACTCACCTGTATTTCAGAGGAGAAGATTTTTAAATGTTAGCAAACTTGATAAACAAATTGTGTAAAATTGTCTTTAAAGGGCAATAACTCCTTAAGGGGTCAATTGACAATTTTGGTCATATTAACTTTTTTGTAGATCTTAATTTGCTGAACATTATTGCTGCTTACAGTTTATATATTTCTATAATAATATTCAAAATAATAACAAAAAACTGCAAAATTTTGTTAAAACTACCAATTTGGTGGCAGCAACCCAACAATGGGTTGTTCGATTCGTCTGAAAATTTCAGGGCCAATAGGGCCAATTAAACAATTTAACCCCTTTCACATTTGCTCTAAAAGATTTAGTTTTTGAGATATAAGCCAAAAACTGCATTTGACCCTTATGTTCTATTTTTAGCCATAGTGGCCATGTTTGTCGATGGATACAAACTTCGGATACAATTTATAAACAAGATACCCTAAGGAACATTTAGTTAAAGTTTGAAGGTAATTGGCCCAGTAGTTTCAGAGGAGAAGATTTTTAAATGTTAGCAAACTTGATGAACAAATTGTGTAAAATTGTCTTTAAAGGGCAATAACTCCTTAAGGGGT